CAAGTTTACCACAGTAAAACTGATTGAAATATATAAATTTGTAAATGTGATCATCTTATACCTTCAAATACACACCATCGTTAACAATATTGTAACATTTTACATGTTTCCTTCTTGATTGTTTGAGATAGACTTTCTCTCCTGTCTCCTGGGCTGGAGTGCAATGGCGCAATCTCCACTCATCAGAACTTCTGCCTCCTGGTTTTAAGTGATTCTCCTACCTCAGCCTCCCGAATAGTTGGGATTACAGGCATGCGCCACCACACCCAGCTAATTTGTGTTTTTAGTAGAGACAAGATTTCACCATGTTGGTCGGGCTGGTCTCAAACTCCTGACCTCAGGTGATCCGCCCACCTCGGCCTCCCAAAGTGCTAGGATGACAGGTGTGAGCCACTGTGCCAAGCCCTATATATTGTTTGTGTGTGTGTGTGTGTGTGTGTGTGTGTGTTTTTTTGAGAGAGTCTCACTCTTGTTGCCCAAAATGGAATGGAATGGCATGATCTCGGCTCACCGTAACCTCCGTCTCGTGGGTTCAAGTGATTCTCCTGTCTCAGTTCCTGAGTAGCTGGGATTACAGGCACTGCCAGCATGCCCAGCTAATTTTTGTACTTTTGCCAGAGACAGGGTTTCACCATGTTGGCCAGGCTGGTCTTAAACTCCTGACCTCAGGAGCTCTGCCCACCTCTGCCTCCCAGAGTTGCTGGGATTACAGGCAGGAGCCACCGAGCCTGGCCTATTTCCTGCTTTTCTCACTAAGCATTATAATTACCTGTGTCAGTCAAAATTCATCTAATCTCATTAAAAGGGAGATTTCAGATTAAGGGATATACATTCAATATTTAATTGTTTATATACAAAATACCTACTATGAAGATGAATTTTAAAGTGACTAAAATTCTAAGAGAATTTAAGAGCCTCTAAAATCACAAATTAGGTTAATACTGTATGAAACTGACATTTTTATAGGTCAAAAACTTATAGGACAAAGACTGTTGAAGTCTGGTAATCTGGTATTTCGACCTCATACACTAAATAACGTAAATGAAAAATTATGTAATTGAAAAGTATGAAAAATACTATCATATTACTTTAGAAATAGTGGGCATCAACAAGTATTTTGTCTTCATTGTTTGTGAGTTCAACATGTGACTGCTCCTATTTTTGTTTAGGCAATCCTTTTTCCCTTTGAAAATAAAGAAATAATCGTTATAGCTAAACTACTTTTAAAAAACCTGGGTAAAGTTATTTAAAGGATAATAAATTTCATTTGGTGGTTTAAAAATGTTTAGAAGAGGTCAGGCGCGGGGGCTCATGCCTATAATCCTAGCACTTTGGGAGGCTGAGGCGGGTGGATCACGAGGTTAAGAGATCAAGGCCATCCTGGTTAACAAGGTGAAACCCCGTCTCTACTAAAAATACAAAATTTAGCTGGGCATGGTGGTGCACGCCTGTAGTCCCAGCTACTTGGGAGGCTAAGGCAGGAGAATTGCTTGAACCCAGGAGTCAGAGGTTGCGGGTAAGCCAAGATCGCGCCATTGCACTCCAGCCTGGGTAACAAGAACGAAACTCCATCTCAAAAAAAAAATGTTTAGAAGAACAATAATATGTTCCCTTTAAGAAAGTGTCATCAGGCACGATGGCTCATGCCTGTAATCCCAGCACATGGGGAGGCCAAGGTGGGAGGATCACTTAGGGTCAGTAGTTTGAGACCAGCCTGGCCAACATGGAGAAACCATCTCTCTAGTAAAAAATACAAAAAAATTGGCCTGGCATGGTGGTGCGCACCTGTAGTTCCAGCTACTCAGGAGGCTGAGGCAGGAGAATTGCTTGAACCCAGGAGGCAGAGATTGCAGTGAGCTGAGATCGCATCATTGCACTTCAGCCTGGGTGACAGAGAGAGACTCTGTTTCAAAAAAAAAAAAAAAGGAAGTGTATAAATGGAGAAATCATTAACCAGGCCTTGGGTGTGTTAGGAACAAGATGAAAGAAGAGAAATTAGGAGCAATTAGTGCTCACGCAGTAATAGTATAAAACAGGTTAATTAACACTTTCCTTTAAAACTAGCATTCCTGAACAGATGAGATGGATTGGGGCTATCAGAAGCCACAGAATGGCCTAGAACAACAAAAAAATATAGGGGCTGGGCACGGTGGCTCATATCTGTAATCCCAGCACTTTTGGAGGCTGAGGACCCTAGAAATTTGAGACCATCCTGTACCACATGGCGAGACCCCATTTCTACAAACAATAGCTGAGTATGGTGATGCATGCCTGTGGTCCAAGCTACTAGCGGGGCTGAGCTGGTAGGATCCTTGAGCGTGGGGAGTCAGGGCTGCAGTGAAGCCGTGATTACACCACTGCACCCCAGCCTTGGGGACAGAGCAAGACCTTGTCTCAAAAAACAAACAATGAAAAGGTAGTATAAGGTTCTTCAGGAGACGAAGGAAAAGAAATATTTCGAAAACAAGTAAGATTAGTAATAGTTAAACATGCCCTTGATACTGCATATCACTTGGGAGGGAGTTCATAGTTCTTTTAACCTTTGCACTTAACTGAATACCACATTATGAATCATTTAAGATTGAATGTCATATATACTGTTTTCAGCAACAATTGTATTTCTTATAGAAAAAGCAGAAGTCACTGGATGTGTTAAAAATCCTATTTTAGCTGCACATTTTAAAAATGCCTACCCACTAGATCCTAGCTACTGTTAACAGGCATCTTCTGACAGCTAATCAAAATGCAAGTAGAAAAAAAAAAATGAAGAAAAGGAAGATCTAGTCACCCAAGAGACTTTGAATCCATTATACTGTTTTAATGATGAAGGTAGCACTCTACTTATTACAACATTTAGGAATTCCTCTGAGACGGTAGGTTTTAAGAAAAATTGTTTTGAAAAACTTCAAACTTTCAGAAGAGTTACAAGATTTGTGCAAATGACTGGTATACCCTTCATCTGGATTCACCAATTACATCTTCCTTCATTTACTCATTCTGCATGTATGTGTTTTTTCCTATGCTGTTTAAGAATTACAGACATCATCATGACTCATTAACCATAATATTTTGGTATGTCCATTTGAAAACGTGTTTGTTTGTTTGAGACAGAATCTCGGTTGCCCAGGCTGGAGTGCACTGGCGCAGTCTCCGCTTACCGCAACCTCTGCATCCTGGGTTCTAGCAATTCCCTGCCTCAGCTTCTCAAGTAGCTGAGGCTACAGGCGCAAGCCACTACGCCTAGCTAATTTTTTGTATTTTAGTAGAGATGGGGTTTCAGGGTGGTCTCAAACTCCTGATATCAGGCAGTCTATCCACCAGGGCCTCCCAAAGTGCTAGGATTACAGGTGTGAGCCACTGCGCCTAGCCATTTTTTTTTTTTTTTTTTTTTTTTTACTTTAAGACAGAAGCTTGTTTCTGAGGCTTGAGTGCAGTGGTGCGATCTTGACTCACTGCGACCTCTGCCTCCTGCGCTCAAGCGACTCTCCTGCCTCAGCCTCCCGCATAGCTGGGATTACAGGCGCACTCCATGACACCGAGCTAATTTTGTATTTTTAGTAGAGACGGGGTTCTCCATGTTGGTCAGGCTGGTCTCAAACCCCTGACCTCAGGTGATCCGCCTGCCTTGGCCTCCCAAAGAGCTGGGATTGCAGCCCGGCCTCATGTCTTTTTTCTTTACTTCAAGAAAATTTGTTTTCAAAGAACCAGCTCGGTTTCATCATTCTTCTCCACTGTTTTCCTGTTTTCTCTTTGCTCAGTTTCTACTCTTTATCTTTTTTTTTTTTTCCTTTCTTCTTGCTTGGGTTTCATTTGCCCGTGCTAATTTGCTTTACACATCATAACTCCCTCAGCATCTCTGGACTTTGATCTCTTGTCTCATTACCTCAGCAAGACTGTTGGACTGTGTTTGAATTCCTTTTCCCTGTACTGCAGTCTGGGAATTTCCTTCAAGCAGGAAGCACCGGCAAATGTAGGCTTACCTTGTGTGTTTCTGAGACTAGTCTGCACTGCCGGTGTCCACTGTCTGAAAAACAGCTACTTTATCTGTTTTGTCCAGTTTCCTGGTTGTTTATGGTGGAAAGGCAATTCCCATAGTAACTAATCTTTCTTGGGCTGCAGCAGAGGTCCTTTGCAAACCTTTTAGAATAATCAGAAGAAATAAATTCTATCCCTTTACCTTTTAATCAGTTCAGTACAACTTCTACTCATTCCTTCCTCTGGATTTGTTTTTATTCTAGAACAAATTGATTTCTTGATCTGTTGAAACTCAAATGCATTATCTATCTTTAAATTACTTGCAGATGAGGACATCTTAAAATACAGGTCCATGCTGGATCTTAAAAGTTCTCAGGCCGGGCGCGGTGGCTCAAGCCTGTAATCCCAGCACTTTGGGAGGCCAAGGTGGGTGGATCACGAGGTCAAGAGATCGAGACCATCCTGGTCAACAAGGTGAAACCCCGTCTCTACTAAAAATACAAAAATTAGCTGGGCATGGTGGTGCGTTCCTGTAGTCCCAGCTACTCAGGAGGCTGAGGCAGGAGAATTGCCTGAACCCAGGAGGCGGAGGTTGTGGTGAGCCAAGATCGTGCCATTGCACTCCAGCCTGGGTAAAAAGAGCAAAACTCCATCTCAAAAAACAAAAAAAAAGTTCTCTTAGTATGATGTCTTTGTTCTTTTATTTTCTAATTTCTGTCCTAGAGCTAAACGGCCTTCATTCTAAGCATGACAGATGAGACTTCTTTACTCTCTTTCCAAATATTTAATATATAGCCCTGAAGCATTGGAGAGACTAAGTGCATTTATGTTTTTTAAGTTGCCTTGGGATTTTCCATCACTAGATTTAGTCTTTGTCTAAATACATTGCATGTAATTCTTGTTATTTTTCCCTTATAACTTCACTCAATGTTTGTTACTGTTCTCATCTTGTTCATTTGAATTATGCTTAGTTTAAACATGTAACCACATAAACAGTATTTTCTTGTCTGATTTTTTTTTCCTAGATGGTATAGCTGTATGCTGGGAAAGAAATGTAGCCTGGCGCCTCTGAAAGAAGAGCTTCGCATCCAAGGGGTGAGGCTTTGTCATTACTGTTCTCATGTAGCTACTCTTTTTTGTATCCATGGGACACAGGTACAGTTTTGCTACATTGATATATTGCACTGTGGTGAAGTCAGGGCCTTCAGTATAACTATCCCTGGAATGATGTCCATTGTGTGTGTGGTACCCATACCCACCTAGCAACCTCCCATCACCCGGTCTCCCACTCCCCCAAGCAACCTCCCATCACTCAATCTCCCACTCCCCCTACCATAAGTCTCCCTTTGTCCATCAGTCCATACAGCTTCTACTTAGTAAGAACATGTGGTATCTCTCTTTCTATGTCTCAGTTGTTTCACTTAAGATAATGGCCTCTAGTTCTATTCCTGTTGCTGAAGACATAATTTCATCCTTTTTTAATTATTTAAGACAGGGTTTCACCATATTGGTCATGCTGGTCTCAAACTCTTAACTTCAGGTGATCTGTCTGCCTCAGCCTCCCAAAGTGCTGGGATTACAGGCATGAGCTACCACGCCCAGCATTTCATTCTTTTTTATAGCTGAATAGTATTCCACTGTGTATACATACCACATTTTCCTTATCCAATCCTTTGTTGATGGATACTTAAGTTGATTCAAGTGCAAATATTTCTTCTTTCTTTTCCCCTTTCTTTCCTCTTTACAAGGTCTAGCTCTGTTACCCAGGCTGGAGTGCAGTGGTGGGATCATGACTCACTATAACTCCTGGGCTCAATCCGTCCTCCTACCTCAGCCTCCTGAGTAGGTAGGACGATAGGCACATGCCACCATGCCTAGGTAATTTTTCTTTTTTCTTTAGTAGTGATGGGATCTTACCATGTTGCTCAGGCTGGTCTCAATTTCCTGGGCTCAAGCCATCCTCTCACCTCAGCCTCCCGAAGTGCTGGGATTACAAGTGTGCACCACTGCACCCCAGCTAGTGATTTATTTTCCTTTGGGACCAATTCTAGTGTTTTTTATACTTTCAAGTCTTACATTTGAGTCTTTAGTCCATCTTGAGGTTATTTTTCATATATCTACTTTTTTTTTTTTTTTTTTAAGAAGTGGGGTCAGGCTGAGGCAGGGTGGATCACAAGGTCAAGAGATTGAAACCATCTTGGCCAACATAGTGAAACCCCATCTCTACTAAAAATACAAAAATTAGCTGGGTGTTCTGGCACGTGCCTGTAGTCCCAGCTACTCAGGAGGCTGAGGCAAAAGAATTGCTTGAACCCAGGAGGCAGAGGTTGCAGTGAGCCGAGATCGTGCCATTGCACTCCAGACTGGTGACAGGGTAAGACTCTGTCTCCAAAAAAAAAGAAAGAAAGAAATTGGAACCTTGATTTCTGTCAACCAGACTGTAGTCTGGTTGAACAATCACAGTTTGCTGCAACCTCAAACTCCTAGGCTTAAGTGATCCTCCCACTTCAGCCTCCCAGGTAGCTGTAACTGTTGGCACATACCACCATGCCCAGCTAATTTAATTTTTAGTAGAAAAAGATCTCTCTGTGTTGCGCATACTAGTCTTAAACTCCTGCACTCAAGTAATCCTTATTTTTTATAAAGATAGGGTCTCACAATGTTGCCCAAGCTGGTCTCAAACTACTGGCCTCAAGCCATCTCCAATCTGGCCTCCCAAAGTGCTGGGATTACAGGCGTGAGCCACTGCACCTGACCTGTATCTACTCTGATGGTAGTTTTGAGTATAGAATTTAGAGTATAACTCTAAAACTCTAAATACGTTTTTTTGTTTCGTTTTCCAAGTTCTATATTTTTAGGGCTAAAATATATTTTATATATAGATAATTGAAACAAGACCTTTTTTGACAAATATAACAGGGAAAGGTGGAGAAAAATAAGATGAGTAGAACGTCAAAGAGAAACCAAATACCAGAAACCTGGTATCTACCAGTGACCTTACATCTAACTCCTTTTTATTTTTAATGTTTTTAATTTTTATTTTTTAACATGTCTCCAAGACACGTTCCACTCACTCCTGTATGGAGCCAGAAACTCAAGCTAGATGGGTTTAGGGGCTTGTTGTGGGCCATGCAGTTAGCTATGGGGGAACAGCACCAGAATAGTCTCGGTCCAGTGTACTTCCCACTAGGATGACATTCCAAAGAGTATAGCCCCTGCTTGTGCTTCAGAAGGCAGGTCACAAGTCAGTACTCCCAGGCCTGGCATAATGACACACCTCTAATCACAGCGCTTTGGGAGGCTGGGGTAAGCAGATTGCTTGAGCCCAGAAATTCAAGACCAGTCTGGGCAACAGAGCAAAATCCCATCTCTACAAAAAAATAGCCAAGTGCAATGGTGTGTGCCTGTAGGCCCTGCTAGCCAGGAGACTGAGGTGGGAGGATCCATTGAACCCGGAAAGTCGAAGTTGCCGTGAGCTGAGATCATGCTGCTGCACTACATCCTGGGTGACAGAACAACAACACCCTGTCTCCAAAATTATTTTTTAAATAAAATAAAGACTCCCCCTGTCACTTCCACTTTCCTCTCAGTTTATGGTGTTTGGTCTGAGTCAGAGGACTTTTCAGCAGAAGGGTCAGATGCAAGTCAGTTAGGGAAACAGTTTCTGATCTCTGGTTTTTCTTTGACATCCTATTCCTCCTCTTCTCACAATACCATTTCTTGGGTAAATTGTGAAAGCTACAAAGTAGTTCCTTTTCCTTTCCTAAAATCTGATTGATAAAAGAGATTACCAGCCAGGAGTGGTGGCTCACATCTGTAATCCCAGCACTTTGGGAGGCAGAGGCAGGTGGATCACGAGGTCAAGAGATAAAGACCATCCTGGCCAACATGGTTAAACCCCGTTTCTACTAAAAATTTTAAAATTAGCTGGGCATGGTGGCGTGTAATGTACTCCCAGCTACTCAGGAGGCTGAGGCAGGAGAATAGATTGAACCCAGGAGGCAGAGGATGCAGTGAGCAGATATTGCACCACTGCACTCCAGCCTGGGCAACAGAGCGAGACTTCGTCTAAAAAAAGAAAGAGAGAGATAATATCTACCTGTGTCTAGCCAGGCTTTGATTGGCTTTCTTTCTAAAAAAGAAAACAAAAAACCACTTGAGGCCAGTTACAGTTACTCACACCTGTAATCCCAACACTTTGGGAGACCGAGGTGGGTGGATCGCGTGATGTCAGGAGTTTGAGACAAGCCTGGCCGAGATGGTGAAACCCCATCTCTACTAAAAATACAAAAATTACCCAGGTGTGGTGGCACCTGCCTGTAATGCCAGCTACTCAGGTGGCTGAGGCAGGAGAATTGCTTGAACCCGGGAGGAAAAAGGGGTACCGTGAGCCGAGATCACTCCACGGCACTCCAGTCTGGGTGACGGAGCAAGATGAGGTCTCAAAAAAAAAACAAAAACCACTTGAGTCATATTACAAATAATTCTCTAATTAGCTGTCTTTTCTGTGTTTCATATATTTGAACCTTCAAGTCAGATCTAGAAATTCTCTTATGTTTTATGGGAGAAAAAAACAACAACTTTGTTGAGAGATTATTTATTCATTCATTATTAGGCAGCTATCTATAACTGTTGTTTGGTGATAGCGTTTGTTAACTGAGTAAAAAGGGTTTACGTAATATAGCATGAAGGGTCAATGTAATTTAGCATGAGGCAGCAGCCAGAAACATAGTGGTAGAATGATTTCAGTTTGATGAAATGCCGTCTTTTTTGGTTTCAGGTCCCAAAAGTCACCTACACTGAATTCTGTCAAGGTCGGACGATGAGATGGGCCTTAGCTTGGAGTTTTTATGATGATGTAACAGTACCAGTAAGTACAGACTTTGCTTTGGCTTCACCACCTGCCAGCACTGTGGGTTTTGGTCAGTCATAAGTGAACTAAATCTGTATTGTCCTGTGTAACTGGAATTTGCCCCAAATGCTTATGTCAAAATGGAAAGGGGTTGTAACCAAGACCCTGTCCTGGAAAGCTGACTGTGGAGACCATGGGGACTTCCTCGGTGGCTTTGTACAGTATATCGTGATTTTGGCTCAGCAGACAGAAATGTATCTTTTAGAAATGAAAATTTTGGTCAGGCACAGTGGCTGATGCCTGTAATCCTAGCACTTTGAGAGGCTGAGCTGGGTGGATAACCTGAGGCCAGGAGTTTGAGACCAGCCTGGCCAACATGGCAAAACCACGTCTCTACTAAAAATACAAAAATTTGCTGGGCATGGTGATACATGCCTGTAATCCCAGCTACTAGGGAGACTGAGGCACGAAAATTGCCTGAATCCAGGAGACAGGTTGCGATGAGCTGAGATTGTGCCACTGCACTCCAGCCTGGGCCACAGAAGAAGGCTCTGTCTCAAAAAAAATTAAAAATTAAATAAATAAAAATTAAAACAACAAGAATTGAGGCAACATAAGCTGTAGAAACACTTTGCAGGTAGAATTACGCTGGTGGACATGCCCCAAGAATTGAAAGTGAATTCAGTTTCTTTTGTTTTACCACTGTTGCCTTCCTAGAATAGCTGCCTTCTGGGGCTCCGGAGAATTGAGAGGTTGACTTTTTGGATTGCAGGCTTTTGATGTGTAACACTTGGGATCATTCTAATGAAGGTTTCTATCTTGGCTTTCGATTAGCACTAGAATATTAACCAGTTGAAGCTGGGTGATAGATCATTATCCCTTTCTATTTTGTGTATGCTAGAACATTTTCTGGAATAAAAAGTTTAAAGAAATGATTTGTGGTCAGGCCTGGTGGCTTATACCTGTAATCTCAGCACTTTGGGAGGCCGAGGCGGGCTGATCACTTGAACTCATGAGTTCGAGACCAGCCTGGGCTGGGTGAAACCCCATCTCTATAAAAAATACAAAAAGATTTTGTATTTTGATAGTGCATGTCTGTGGTCCCAGCTGCTCAGGAGGCTGATGTGAGAGGATCACTTGAGCCTGGGAGGTGGAGGCTACAGTGAGCCATGACCATGTCACTGCACTTTCAGCACTTTGGCCTGGGGTAACAGAGTAAGACCCTGTCTCAAAAAAAAAAAAAAAAGAAAGAAAGAAAATGATTTGCCCACAGATGTCTCTTTGTCCTCGGTACTGCCATAGTAAAGGAAGAATGCCTCCGAGCTGGCCACACTGAATGATTTTCCAGGCAGTGCTGAGAGGCAGTGTCAGAATAGCATCTGTTGGTTCTCGCAGTTCCCTCCCAGGTGTGTTGGCTTCTTGTTGCCTGGAGATTCCCCCCTGAAGTGTCTGCACACCCTGCTCAGCACGTGCTCCTCTCTTAGGATGTGCGGGGACCTGGCGCCTGCTGCTTTGCATCTCTCTCCTCAGCCCCTGCAGCGGGCTTGTACTGGGTGCTGTTCTCCCAAGCTCTTGGCTGCTCTTGATCTCTAAAGTCATCTTACATGTTGCTGTGTGTCTGAGGCTCTTTCCCTGCCCTTGTAGGGTAGAGGAGTAGAGATGTGCACAAGGCAACAGTTTGCAGGGACTGCCATGTTTCTGAAAACAGGAGCTCAGATTCGGGATTGAGCCTGTCCTGCTCTGCAACTGGAAGTGCTGCTGGGCTGAAGTCTGCTCCCCAGTGGCGCCTGAATGGCCCTTTCCGTGGAAGCCTAGACTCCTGCACAGGGCAGTATGGTATCTAGAGGTTTGTGTTTGAAGTAGTCTGTGGTTAAAAAGATGCTTTTGCTTTTTCGACATCCCCCCACCACCCAAAAGGATTATCCTTTCTGTCATTTTCTAGAATGCCAGGGCCCTCACAGCAATGGTTAAGCTGTTAGTAATGCTCTGAAGTATCTCCATGCGGACACTAGCAGGTGCAGGAAGGAGGAACTGCACCTGTTTTCAAGCGCTTTCTGCTTCACCCGCTTCCCACATTTGTCGGCACTGCAGGAGGAAGGGCTGGTAGTGCACCCTGGCACTCTATACCAGCTCCAACTGAGTCCCCCCAGCCCTCCTGGATGAGTCACTGTTTCAGATCCATGCAGTAAAGGGCACTGCTTCTGTGTTAACAAAATCAGCTTATTTTGAAAAGGAAACCCCTAAGCTTCCCTCTCCTCCTCGCCTCTGTTTTGGGACATCCTTCAGCCCCATTCATAGTTCTCAACCATCAAAGAATGCTAAGGACCTCAGATTACTCCCATGCCAGAGTCTGCCTTCCTCCCCTCCACTGTCCCCAGCCCCAGGCTGTTAATAATGCACTCCCAGGTGTTCCATTAGACGCACTTAAACCACTGGGTCCAGTTAGGAAAAAATAGCAATTCCTGATTTGTAGTAACCCAGCAACAGTTTCTTAGCACTACTGCCCTTGATCAGCAACTGCTTTCCCTGGGGGTCGTTCCAGGGTACTCTCAAGGTTTTTATTTGGCTGTCTTCGTGGTTCTTCCCTCTCCCTAGACCTCTTTCTCTACCCTCGTTTTTTGCAAAGCCCATCTGACTTTCCCCCTCTTGCTCCTGTTGGGAGTGAGGAAGGAGAAGGATGCTGCTTTAGACAAGGAATAGAGCTAGTTAAGCAGAAACATTGTCCTATTTCCCCACCCCCACTCCCGCCATTTTAGGGTAAATGTGCAAGTTACTATGGCAACTTCTGTTTTCACTTATCTCAGGCCTACTGACTCGTTTCTGTTGGTGCTGAATGCTGAAAAATTCTAATTCACTGGTGATTCGCATGCCCACACTCAGCCCATTCCTGTTGTCTGGATTTATTTTAGCAACAAAAAGATAAGTCCTAATGTTGATAGAATTTTGTTCCATAATTTCAACTAATGATGAATATAAGAAAGTGTATTGTACAAACTGTTCTTTGCAGAATTCTAACAAGCCACTTAGCCTCTTTGTTCCAGTTCTCCTCTAATTGCCCAAGGCATTATTTTAGCTTTGTTTTGGTTTTCTTTAAGGAATTTTGACATTTGTTAAGAGAAAAAGGGGAAAAAGTGTAGCTCTAGTGACTCTTGGTTTGCATGGTTTAGGAACTCTGGGTTTAAAAAAGGATACCCTGTAATTCAAGACATTATCTTTAAGCCTGAGGCATTGCGGTCTAGGGACTAATAACTAGAGGGCTTTATGGAGAGCAGATGGAGGAGAGGGGTCCAGTTAGGCAGCCTTGTGTGTGTTGGAGCTCGGTGTCCTGGCAGTGCTCTGCCTCCTTCACCCTATGTTTTAGTCTTGTCCACAGAGCTGTGGGATGATGTCGTGCAGGTGCCCCCATGTGGGGCAGGCATCAGGCTGGTACTACTGGAGGCCTCCCTCTCATTTTAAAGAGCTCATCTGCTTTTATCAGTTTTATGTATTGATTTGTTGACAATGTCCTGCTGTTAAGAAATGGTTTGGGCTGGCTGCGGTTGCTGATGCCTGTAATCCCAGCACTTTGGGAGGCTGAGGCAGGTGGATCACCAGGTCAGGAGTTCTAGATTAGATTGGCCAGCATGGTGAAATCCCATCTTTACTAACAATACAAAAGTTAGCTGGGTGTGGTGGCGTGCGCCTTGTAATCCCAGCTACTCAAGAGACTGAGGCAGGAGAATCACTTGAACCCATAGGTGGAGGTTACAGTGAGCCGAGATCATGCCATTGCCCTCCAGCCTGGGTGACAGAGTGAGACTCAGTCTCAAAATAAAAAAAAGAAAGAAATAGTTTGAAAACCAGTACTGCACCAGGCTGTGCATTATGCTACAAAATTGATGTGATGGGAGCCGGGAGTGGTGGCTCACGCCTGTAATCCCAGCACTTTGGGAGGCTGAGGTGGGCAGATCACAAGGTCAGAAGTTTGAAACCATCCTGGCCAACATGGTAAAACCCTGTCTCTACTAAAGTACTAAAAAGCCGGGCATTGTGGCATGCGTCCATAGTCCCAGCTACTTGGGAGGCTGAGGCAGGGGAATCGCTTGAACCCGGGAGGCGGAGGTTGCAGTGAGCTGAGATCGCGTCACTGCACTCCAGCCTGGGTGACAGAGCATGACTCTACCTAAAAAAAAAAAAAAAATCTATGTGATGGTCAGGGGCCTGAGCTGTTGAGCAAAACCAAAGCTTATTACCCTCTTCTTAGTTACTTTTCTTATTAAGTGTGATCCTCATTGTGATGATAAACAAATAAAACATTGTTTTTGTTCCTTAAAATGATCCATTTTATAGGAAAGAAAAACACATGGAACTGCTGATGCAAAATTGCGTGTTAGTAAGTGCTGACATGGATAATAGGGCGAGAGTAGTCAGGAGTTCAGCAGAGGATGTGGCTCAGGCTGGGGCTAGTCAAGGGCGACCTTATGAAGGAGGCATCGCCAGCGTCTGACTCGTAGGTAGGTGGGTGGTGCTCTAAATATGTGTTAAATGTTCAAAGGAATGGTGTAGGACTCGTATTGAAGGCAACGTTGTGAGTAGGAACTAGTAAATTTCGTAGATTTGAAGCACTGGATATAATATGTGTTGTTATTTGAATACTTCACATACATTATATTCTCATTTTATTTCAACCTGACAGCAATCGAGTGAAGTAGATGGTATTATTATCTCCACTTGATAGACGAGGAAACTGGAGGCTCCAGAAAGTGAGGTTGGAACCCAGATCAGTCTGATTTCACAGCCTAGGCACTTAACGTCGCTCTGACACTCAGCCTGCTGTGGTCCTGCGTTTTTTTTTTTGGCCTGGCTGGAACCTGCTCTTGTTGGCCCTCACATCTTGCTGTGAACCATGCCAGCAGCCTCTCATCTCAGAGTTACTTGGATTCATCCTGTGGTCAGCACCCTGCTCACCCACTCCTGAGTGGCTCCTGCTAACAGGATGAAGTACACATCCTCGTCTGGCTCCTTGGGACTGCCAGATC